GGGGTTGGATTATAAATGGGCAGGGGGATTAACAGATTATGTATTTATTTGTTTTCATAGCTAAGTGGCTGAAGCCTGGAGGCTTTCAGCAGCAGAGTTGAAAGTGTGGTTTTTAGTTTTGTGAATGGATGATCACAAAGAAAAAGCATTTTTTAAAAAGTTGGCGAAACGCTGAAACGCACTGTGGTATGAAGCGCATTGCGTACCCGTAGCACTGAAGAACCCGTCTTCCATTCCTGGGCTGAGATTGTTTCCCCGTGGTTGTATTGTTCTGATTTCACGTACACCAGAGTAACTGATTTTTTGTTTTCTTGTGGAGTTAACACCAAATAAAAAATTTGAAAAACGGTTGGCTGCCTTCGTTTATCACAGCAAAGGCTCTTTTCTGAAGAGCCGCGGCCTGTCTCAGCTCCGTGCGGCGGGAGGTGGGAGGTGGCCGGTTCACCTCGTTCAGAAGAAGCTGATTTAGCTCTTACGGGCCTCGCTCAAAGTGTTGGCCTGCTGCTTTGCTGCAGAGGGAGGGGGGTGGTCTGCTGAGAAATGGGGCCATCCCTCCTCCCTCCCCCCCAACTACTACCTGAATCTTGCACAGAACACGGATTTCTGTCTGTAGCTGTAGACAAAGCTTCGTCTTTTTGTTCCGGGGGGAGGGGGCGGGACGGGGAGTGCATATAAACATCGGTGTTTACCGTAGAAAAAGAAATCGGTGTATTTTTAAAAGTATAAGGGAAAACTCTACTTCCATCGCCGTGAGATGGTCGCTGCTAACATTTCTGCAAAAACACTTTTCTCGACGGCTGAATGTACATTTGAACATACGGAGAGAAGCTTCTAGCACAAGGTGGAACTACACTGCCCCGTGACGTGGGAAATAGGTGTTTACTCAGATGTCTTCGTGGCAGGAGTTGTAGACCTGTTTCCCTTTTTATATTCCAGTCTGTAGATACGACACTTTCCTCATTGCTCAACATTTAAGAACGTTCCTTTTATGTGTATTCCGTGTCCTGCATAGCACTTCTGCGGACACCTTCAAACCCGTGTGCCCTTGTACGCTCACTCCTGAAGGGAGACCCCCAGCCTGTGCAGCACCTGTGCCTGTCACAGCGTCCCCCGCCCCGTGTCCGTCCTGTTTCTCTCCACCTGTCAGCGGACACTCAGCTCGGGTTATTTGAGGCCAGTGCCTTTTCAGGTTGGCATTGTCTTTAATCTGGGGTGGAGGAGAATCATTTAAATTTTGTTTTATCCATTTTTTTATGGTTTCTGGGATGTGTAGGCATGTTGTTTAAATGCTTTCTTCACCTTTAAAAGAGTATAAAAATACGCTTCTGTGTTTTTCTAAAACCCATATACTTTATGTAGAATCGATTTTTTTTTTTTTTTTTTCCCCTTAAGTAAGCTTCATGCCCCGTGGTGGGGCTTGAACTCACGACCTGGACAGAGATCAAGAGTCGTGTGCTCTACCGACTGGCCCAGCCAGGCGCCCCTGTAGAGTTGATCCTTGAAGCGTGTGCATTTTATACCAGGAGCGAGGCTTAAGGATTCAGCCTCATTTTTTACCAGCTGGTTGGACGGCTGCCCCAACTCCTTTTGTTATAAAGCCCCTATCCCGTGCCCCCCCCCCCCGCCTTGCGCCCCATATCTGAAGTGACCCCTGGATAAGGGCCCTCTTAATGTGGAAACCTAGGTCCAACTGCTGGCTGTGTGACATTGGGTAAACTGATGCAAGTCAAATGCTTACAAAAGGGTCTCTGGCCTAGTAAGCACTCTCAGTGTTAGCTTCGGACTGACCGGTTGCTGGGATTCAGGAGACCTCCAGGATCTACCTCTTTATTTATTTATTTTTAAGTTTTTAAAATTTATTTTGAGAGGGAAAGTGAGCAGGGGGAGGGGCAGAGAGGGAGAGAGAGAATCCCAAGCAGGCTCCGCACCGTCAGCGTGAAGCCCGACGCGGAACTCAAACTCCCAAACCGTGAGATTGCGACCTGAGCCCAAACCAGGAGTCAGGCGCTTAACCGACTGAGCCCCCCCAGGCGCCCTCAGGATCTGTCTACCTTAATCATGACTGCAGGGGTGTGACCTGAGCCCGCACCGGTAGAGCAGCAGTGCCCACTCGGGCGGGGAGGTGGCGCGGAGAGCGAGCTCCCCGGAAGTGCCCGAGGCAGGACTGGAGGATGTTAGCGCAGCAGGGAGGTCCCCTGTGCAGGTGCGCGGATCGTCCCCGGAAGCTGCGCCCCGTGGCCCGCGTACTTGCTTCCCGGGTGCCCGCACCTGCCAGCAGGGGGTGGGGGTGCCGGGCTGGGCCTCTGCTCCTCGCGTGACCACCCGGAGCTTGGGCTCTGTCCCCGGGACTGTGACATCACAGCCAAGTGCTGCTCACACCCAGGGCGTAAAGCCCTCTCTCAAATTACGCCAGGCGTTCAGCCGCTGCTCTTGTGACTGATGCTGCTGCTCCTGTCACCGCAGACGCCACCCCCGGCAGACTCCGGGCACGTGGGTAAGTGGCCGTGCAGCGCCCGGTGGCCTGTGTCTGCCCAGCAGTCCAGGAACGGAAAGAAGGGCCCAGCCGGCGGGTGGATGGCATCACGGGCGGGCTCTGTTGCGGGCACGGAGGCCGGGAAGGGAGCTGCCGCGTCACAGCCGCCCCCAGCTTCCCGCCACCGGCCTTGCGTCACTGGTGTGGGAGAGACGCGGTCAGGAGCGGTCGCCCCACCCGACTGAACGAGCGGTGACTGGTGGGGATGCCACCGCCTCACACCGGGACAGTGTCCGCCTGCCTGTGGCCTTCTTCCAGGTGTCCTGCCCTGTTAACCCCGCGAGGTGGGTGCGTTTGCCCCGTTTTACAGGCGGCAAAACCGAGGCACTCGCTAAGGTCTGGCACCCGCTGAAAGGTGGAGCCAAGATTCGAACTGCGTGTAAGTGGCGACCGTAACCGTGCATCCCGTGGAGTCGGTTGTAAAGAGGAACTGGCACAGCCGGGCAGCGAGGACACAGTCTGCGAGGTGCGGTCCTGGAGCGGCCGCCCAGGAGGCTGTCGCACCCCCGTCGGTACCTCTCGGAAGGAGCTCCCATCCCCAGGCGGCCCCTTCCTTCCCCTGCTGCATCGATGGCGGGGGGAGCAAAGCCCCGGCC